CCTAAACATACCTCCTATAAAAATATAAACATAATACTAAACAACCTAAAACTACCTCGGGTACATATCCGTAGTACCTGTTACGACAACGACCCTTCGTGCCCTAGCTAGTAAGAGTCCTTCGGCAGGACTAGTACTAGTAGAATCTTGGAAGGACTAGTACATTTTTTCTTTTACTAATACTAGTCCCGTGGACTAATGATTCATGAACTAAAATGGTTAGTGTCTAACCCTGAGAATATAGATAGATCTGAATGGGCTGGTAGGTCGGGCCACTGATTAACCACTTGGCTGCGTAGCACGTAGTATTATTACGTGCTTCGCATGTTTCCACTTAGCTCCAGGAAACGGTATTGCTAGGGTTAGAATACAGGTGTATTGACGTTAGTCACACAGCCTGGTCGGGTTAGTTTCCACTGTGTGCGGACGACGTAATATTACGTGTTATTTGTGATCGGACCGCTTGTGACAGCTATCTGTTCACGACACCCGTACGGAACACTGTACAGTGTAGGCTCCTAGTCCTACAGCATTGCAGACTTCCAAAAAAAAAATCTGCTCTGATGAAATTCAACTTGTACATCTCATATGGGAAACTATGGCCAAATAGCTACTGAATATTTAACTTCTATTACATGGTACATATAATTACATGGTTATTTCTACTTACATTATGGGGCTTACAAAAATCTCAGACACACAGATACACAGAACAAAACGAAAACAAAACAGCGCCCCCTATTTTCAGGCTAATCTTTAACTTTTTTTGTTTTTTTGTTTTTAACCGAACAAACGGTTTTCAACCGAGTATAGCTTAGAACCCGTCCCGTGTACTCATCGATCTCTTCTGTAAATTTGGCGCTATTTGGATCGAAACTGACGGAGCCTTTCATTAAAGAGATTGGCAACGATGATACAACATTCGCCAAATTATAGTAAGATATAGTGCATCTATATACTGTATACATATCTTTGGTCTTTTGATGTATAACCGTTTCTTGGAGCTTACTTTAGTAAATATATACAAGTGTGTAGGGTCTATAATACAAATTATCTGTCTATAAGATCATTTATTAAGATGTCTATACCGCAGCAACAAATATTATAACCATATGGCTCTGTTTTTCATGACTATATATAGTTATGGCCATGCAGCTCCAGTGAACTGAAATTATACGTGTGTGTGTGTACGCGCGTGCGTGCATGTGTGTGTGTGTAAAAGTTTGTGGGTGTGCGCGTGTGTATATACTTATATATATAATATATATCTATATATGTATATTGCTGGGGTGCGTATAATTTTAGTTTTTGCTATAACAATTGACATATTTCCACCTAGCTCGGTCCCAGCTCGGTCTGCCAAAGCCAAAACAGGTATATATGCTCACAGCTATAGGTATCTACTGAGAAAAACGCTTGGAGTCTCCTGGTTGTTGTTATAATAATTGAGTTAGATGTATGAACCACCATAGGAGTGGGGAGAGGTAGTGGAGGAGGGGGGGGAGAAGGTGGTGGAGAAGGAGGGGAGAAGCTGGTGGAGAAAGAAGAGGGGGAGAAGAGAGAAGGTGGTGGAGACGGAGGAGGGGAGAAGCTGGTGGAGAAGGAGGAGGGGGAGAAGCTGGTGGAGAATGAGGAAGGGGAGAAGGGAGAAGGTGGTGGAGAAGGAGGAGGGGGAGAAGATGGTGAAGGAGGAGGAAGGGGAGAAGGGAGAAGGTGGTGGAGAAGGAGGAGGGGAGAAGCTGGTGGAGAAGGAGGAAGGGGGGAAAGAGGAGAAGACAGGGGGAAAGAGAGGGAGCTGTGAAGAAAGAGGGGGAGAAGGGATTCTGTGAAGAAAGAGGGGGAAGGAGGAGAGGGGTGTGGAGAAGAGAGAAGCTGTGGGGAGAAGGGGAGGAAGGGAGAAACGTGGTGGTAGAGGGGAAAAGCTGGTGGGAAAAGGAGGAGGGGGAGAACGGAAGAAGGAGAACGGAGGAGAGAAATGGAGCATAGGTGGAGAGGAGGGGGAAGAAGGGAGAAGCTGGATAGGAGGAGGGGAGAAGCTCGCCGCGCCCAGAAGGAGAGGGGAGAAGACTGGTAAGAGAAAGAGGAACAGGGGAGGATAGCTGGTCGGAGGGGAGGAGGGGAGAGCACCCGCAACGGCACGCAACGCACGCCACACACACACACACACACACACAGACACAGCCACACGCCACACACACACACAGCGACACACCACACAACACACACACACACACGACAGCAGCCTAGCAACCCACACACACCACATGAGCACTGTTAACAGTTATTTGGGCGTTAAGTAGCCAGTAATTCAATGAATCTATAATATATATATATATATATTATATATATATACACCGTTATATATAGTGTAATTATCTCTAGTATGTGTATGAATAAAGTAAAATAGATCCATTTTGGATCAGTGACCACCCTGCTTTTCTGTACAAGTGAGAACAATTGTTCTCGGTCCCATGCCCTATTTTATCAGCATCAGTGGTGACTTCTTTCTCCGTCTTGTTGATGATTACAATTAACTACAGGTATAAGACGGTCCAGTGGTCACCACTCACACTCTCACCTTCCACCTTCAGAGGTGTGGATCCATGTTCTGTTAAACATTAGCTTAATTGTTTATAATAGTGTAAACAATAGCTAGATCTGCAGTTTGTAAGATAGTGAGTTTCTTTAGTTCAACTCTATTGTTGCTAATGCGAATTGAGAATTATGGCTGCAAAGGAAAGGCGCATGACATTTGCGCGAAAATTTGGAAAACTTCTGAAAAGGTTCCTAGTTAAAAAAGTCAAGGAAACCTTGGCTAGTGACTTGGAAGTATCTATAGGAAGCTGTAAACAAAATACTAAAGAAAGCAAGAATAATGAGAATATGAAACTCTAAGGTGAACAAAAACTGCAAGTCCAAATGTAAACGACGTGACCAGTCGACTCATCGAAGATGATCTGCTGTGTTCGTATGGTTCAGTGGGTTGACACAGCAGAATTATGTGACCGGCCAATATCCCAAGCACTATAGCCCTGGAGCTAAAGCCGACAGTTCTTACATGTAACAACCCCGACGCCCACCACACGCCAACCATTTATGTGAACACCCGGTTATATGACATGTTTATCAGGAGTAAGATAATAAAAATTTGAGTTATTATTACTCCTGATTTTATCTGAGGCTCAGCCAGTGTTCGCATGATTGAGAGGTTTCACTGGGTGCATTAGAGGCCTCGGTTTAACGCTGTACTCGGACAGCAGTCCGTGATACCGTTCGCGGCCTACGCCTACAACTAAACTTAACGCCCAAGTATGTGGAGCAGTTAGGTTTAAAGTATC